CGCCCCCCGATAAGCTCGGTACCTACCGGTGCCTACCCACACGGGCCGGCCGACAGCGTGCCAATCAGCGTCAACAAAGTTGCAGCGCGCGGCGCGCCGCTGGTGCTTACCGGCATGCCTGCCTACAGGCAGGTGGCGTGGTGGTGGCATACGTGCTCGAAAGTATTATTATTTATTTTCGTGTCTGTCCCAGCCCCCCCGTTGACTCCCCCCCCCCTCTCTCTCACGTACCCTTTCTTTTACTCCGTCCGGGCGCTATATGCTCGTCGTCGTCCTTTCCTTTCCTGCCACCTGTGGGGACGCGCCGCAGTTGTCGTCGTGTTTACTACCGTTCCCTCCCTCCCTCCCTCCCTCCCTCCCCCGCGCCGGTGCATCAAATAAGCATTTCCGAGTCCGGCAGCGGCACCACCACCACTGGCGGCGCCGCCTCCTAAAAGTCACATCATAATGTAATGCACGGGGGTGGGACAGACAGTCAGACCCTCCGGCAGTCAGACGGACGGACGTGCGGGCGGGCGCGCCTTGTTCGCACCGGATGATGTCCGTTCTGATAACGCTCACGCAGCGCAGGTCGGAGGTAATGAGTGCGAAGGGTAAGGTGCGCTGCCGCGTCGGCCGCTCCTTGAGGCCGGTCAGGAAGGGAGGGGGCTGTCAAGCTTCTGGCGAGGCTTCTGGTCTTGTTGGCGTCGACACGTCAAATAGTAGCTTTAATTGCAAATGTGAATATTATCATTAATGTCAACGCGAATAATTTCTTTTAATTTAAACCCGTTTTTCTTTGTCAATCCATCCTTTTTTTTCAGAGGCAATTTTCGTAGGACAATTTTTTTTCAGCGCTCCTTTGCGTTTTAAAAACAGCGTGGGGTTGTTTTTTTGTCTGTCATTATTGTCACAAATTTTTTTTCTCTGTGCTGCTGGCGCGGCGTGGCAAAGCGCCTGTGTATGTGTGTTCGTCATTCATTCATTCAAGAAGTGCGGGTTCGGGGCGGGGCGGGGCCTGGAGTACGCAGTACGTACTGCCGCGAGAGAGTGAGAGAGTGAGAAGCACACTTCCGGACGACTTTGTGGGAAACGGCGCGGCGCGGCCCGGAGCAGCGGCGAGGCGAAGAGGGGGCCGACCTTGGCGAGGGGGAAACAAGTTCAGGGCTTCTCATTCACATGCGTGAGTGTGTGCAGTGGTGGTGGCAATGGCGGTTGTGGCTGCTGACCTTTTGCGACAAGACAGGCCTGCTGTTGCAAAACGAGTTTGCAAAAACAAAAAATAAAAGAGCGCAAAATAGCAAAGCGACTAGACTATTCAAGAATCACATCCGTGTCACGCGCTCATCATCCAATAAGACGAATGAAAATTCCGCGCGCATTTGATGTGTGCTGTCTGTGGGGGGACAGCAGCTCCACGCGTTTGATGTGTGCTGTCTGTGGAGGGACAGCAGCTCTACGCGCCCCTGCCGCGGGGCCGGCGGGCTTTATATTGCCACAATCTGATCTGATGTCGCGCGCGCCGCGCTGTGCGCCGTGTTCCACCAGCGTAGCGCCACCCGAGCGTGCCGAGCGCCTCCAGGACGGCGATGATGATGATGATCGCATCGCCGTCCTTATCGTCGCCATGTCCTCGGCCCGGGCGGCTGCACACTGTGGGCGCAGCGCGGCTGTTATTTGCATTACACTGAGAGAAATGTTGCAGCGATCAAAAATTGTTCGATCAGTCCGGATTAGTCTTGCCCATCAAAATTTTAGTCGCAGGAACTAAAATTTTGGTTACAGCAACCGCAGCAATCAAAATTTTGATGGCTTCAACGAAACATTTCTCTCAGTGTGTTACGCGGAGTCGTCCTATCTCGCCTTTCCCCCTCCCCGCCTCCGCGCCGGTCCGTCTGTAAGTCTGATTGAGGAAGCAAGTCCAGCAGTAGCTTTGCTTTGCTTTGCCGTCGTGCTCATAAGCGTCCGGCCGCAACTCTGCATCATGCAGCGCTGTCTTATACATTGTTTCCCTTATTCGGCCGGTGTGCTGTGCTGCCGGTGTTTTGCACTGGCTGCACCCCCCCCCCTTACCTGTGAGGTACGCGAGGGGGCGGCGGGGGGGTAGGGGGCCCCCATTGCGCTGGTCAGGGCGTTCCGCGTCGCGGCCCCTCCCCGGCCCCGCCAGGCGTGGCCTCGCTGGGCACTGTGCGGCGCCGTGCGGGGCGTTCTGCCTGCCAATCTTGCCCCCCCCCTCCTTGCCCCCCTCCTTGTCCCCCTACTCCCCTCTAGCATACGCCGCAGGGCAACGACTCGTGTTGGGGCAGGTCAGTCAGGGGCGATGCCTGATGCCGGTCGACCGCCTAGTACGTACCCTGCTAATAGATGCGATTTATTCAGTGAGTAGAAATGAAAAGGCTTAAGTTAGACTCACCCCGAGGATAAGGCAACATTTCTTCAAGATACGCATGAAATCCTGGGTGCTTTAGCTCGTACAGTGTACTGCTCTGTTGACGCCATTTGGGGCTCGGGTAGGCACCCTCATACACACTGGCGGGCGGGTCTGCCTACCTCCAGGAGGGTGCCGTTGGCGGTTCTGGTAGGCAACCTTGTCACACGCCAGTAGGGCGGGTCTACCAACCG